GGGGATTGGCTGACCAGGAATTGATTCTTCTCAATTGTATCAAAGATTATTCTGTAACACAGATCAAGGTCAGTTCCAAGTGGAACTTTCTCTCTCTCTCTCTCTCGCTCTCTCTCCCCTCCCTCTCTCCTCTTCCTTTCTCCTCTCTCCCCTCCCTTATTCTCTCCCTCTTTTCTTTCACCCTTCCTTCATTTTCATTCTTGCTTTTTTCTGTTTCTTCTTTCACTAGTACATTTTTATTAGGATACGTACACATTAGTACATTATGACTGCCTTTCTCATGGGGAGTTGGCAATATGTACCTAACACATCTTAATTCATTTTTCATCCCCTATCCCTCCTATTAATCCCTCCCTGCTCCTTCCAACTCTCAATCCACTCTCATTTGCAAAAACTATTTTAAAGAGGCCTTTTCAGTCTTTTTTTTTTTCTGTCTCAGAACCAGGAATTGAACTCACCCTCACACTTGCCAGGCAGGCACTGTATCACTGAACTATGGTTCAAAAACTATTTTTACTTTTTGCTTTCAATGCTTTTTCTCTCCAAGGGACTCACTAAGTTGCCCACAGGAACTCAGACTTGGGATCCTCTATCCTCAGCCTACAAGTAGGTAAGATTACAGGCATGTGACATTGTACCTAGCCTATTTCATTTATTAATTATCTCATTCCCATGTCTTTTCCCCCTCTAATTTTATGTGTTAAAACAGAACATGTATAAAACCATCAATGGCACAGCACAAAAATCAGTACTGTAGAGACCATGGGATGTCACTAAAATTCTCTCACTTGGTCAGTACCACTCAATGTTCCAATCAATTTTACAAATTTTTCTATCAAAAGGGGTTACGGGCCGGGGAGATGGTTCAGTAGAATAAGCACTTTCCTGGCAAGCTCAAGGGCCTGAGTTCAATTCCCCATTCTAAAAAAAAGGGGGTCACAGTGGGATGGACATAGTAGCTTGCTAATCTGGCATGCACAAGGCCCCAGCCTTAGTCTCCAGCAGTGCAAACTGTGAATGCTTTCAGCTTTACCTTTAGGTTAATGTCAATAAACTATGTAACTAAAATAAAAACACAGAGCTTGCTTTTGTGAAAATTTTATAATGCTAAAGAAAACTATAGGTAGTGTACTATGCTTTAACAAAACATGATATGGGGATGTTTTGGATTTACAAAGAAATAAGGGACACATTACTGAACAAAAAACTTCAACAGAATTTTTAAAAAGCAAACTCTTTTGGTGATTCAAAAAAACCTAATTATGACCAGCATTTCAGGACACATAGGTCACATTTATCCATTCACACCTGCCTTACTGCCACACGCATCAGTCAGCTGTCAGAGTGAGTGCTGTGCATGGAACCCAGGTTCTTACACATACTGGGCAAGCACTCTACCACCATACTGCATCCCCAGATTCTACTCGACTCTTCTGCTCACATGTTCTATAACCAGTAGGAACAAAAACAACATACATGTTCCCATAGCTCTCCTTTCCATTCAGCTTCCAGCAGCCGGCTAAGCCTGCCCTGGGGGCAGGGCTGGCACTGCATGTGGTGCTGGGGATCAAACCGTGGTTCCTGAGCTTGCCTAAGCTTGCATAAGCAGGCGCTTTAAGTCTGCTGAGCTACCTCACTGGCCAAAGTTAGGTAATTCTTTTCCTAAGGTATGAGTACAGTTTTGTTATATACAAAGTGAGACAATAGGAAACTTTTATTAATGAACAAACAACTTTCACAAAGACTGTCTATATTACATTGCTATTACAACATAGATGAGCTGAAACTTTTTTGTACAGACTTGGAAGAAGGGAAACCCCCAAAAGAAATCAAGCATATAGAGGTAGTTGAATAGCAATATAGGGGAGCAATATCTTAATTTCCCTTCATTACAGTGCAAGAGTAAAATTACTGCTTGACAAACGAAAAACAAGCACACATCCACAGCTGCCACTGTTTAAGTAGCTTGCTTGACATTTTAATCCTGGCATTACTGCGAACTGCATACAATGACAAAACTAGTTTACCTAAAATTAGCTGATGGTGCCATGTTAAGCTACTTGCTTTCTTTTTGTTTCATTGTTGCTTATTGTCATTGCTTTAACAACAGATGAATGTTAATCAACTTTTAAAATGATGCATAAGCTACAGTGTTGCTTTGTAAACTTCAGTTAATCACATTTGCTGCGAAGAAAAGTTTTTAAAACAGCTACAGAGTCATGAATAGCAAAGCTTTAAAGGAACAGAGATTACAGGCACTTCTCTCTGGAGGTTAATTTAACATGTTTGAAAAATATCCACTCATAAGTGAAAAATCTCTTCATCTCACATCTGGATGCACATAATCCAGATTATTCAACAGTTAAGCTGATAAGTGACGTTATCACTCTACAACGGATCGAATGTGTACATTTACATGGCTCATTTACCTTCCTTCTCTGTGCACTTAGAAAGTGGGGCAAAGTGGCACCCATGCAGCTAGCTGCTTTTCCTGTCTTTAATCCCATTCATGAGGCCCAAGAGCAGGCTGAGAATGGACCCTTCTCCAGTATTTAAGTTGCCTTCCACTTCCATATGTCATATACCTCTGCTATGATTCTGCCTCTGTGAATAGAAATGGATGCAAAGTCAACAGGCTGAAAAGTCAGGGAAGGAGGTCCTGAACAAAGTGCTCCTGCTGAGAACGGAGTTGGCAGAGGCGACAGTTCTCAAGGATTGCAGTCTATCAACAGTATGCCATCTGTTGATAGTAAGAGACCTCTGGGTACTGTGAGCCAGCCTCAGGAGCTCTGCTGCTCCCATGGCTTGTCACAGGGGATTATCTGAGCCCCGGTCAGCTCTGCAGGTAGAGCTGGAAGCGCCACATGCGCAATGACTTGACTTGGCCCCAGTACTGAGGCAGCACTGGGCTAGAAGCAGTTGGCCTTCAGAAAAGGCTAGCTGTTAAAATAGGCAGTTCTGTGCACCCCCTAAGTCAGGGGTATGCCCTCTTGTATCCAAGTTGTCTACAGAAAATTAATTTCTTCATTCTTCATTTACTACATTTTGCTGGTTATTAGCTAGCAGCAGTAGTGTGGTACAAAGCAGAAAGGCATAATGTCTGCTTGCAACCTGGTACATGTATGTGGTTGTATGTGCGCATACACACGCATACCTATGCATACAGAAAATAACCTACCAGGAAAAGACTGAGTCGGTCAAAATAAACAGGAAAACCAACTCAACAAGTGGCACTATATACCAAGGGGGAAGTCTTGTCTTTCTGGCTTAGGTTTAGACTTACGTATTTTCTCTACATATTCTTCCTTCATTTCCAAGCTGAGCAGCAAAAATAATTTACAAATGGTAAAAATGGTCAAGTCCAATTAATGATTCTGTTCAAGTACAACCCAAAGACAGCCAGGGATTAGCCTGCCTCCTGCCATCACATCGACTCACCATAGAACAACCCACCCTTGTCTCTGGGCTATTGAGAGTAAAGTGCAATTCTGCCTAAACTAGACCTATGCTCTGGAGTGCAGTGCTCCTTTATCCAGGGCATTTTATGACATAAACTTTTGTTAAGAAACCAAACTTTCTTTTTGACATAATAGAGATGTGCTGGCTAAGTGAATTTTACTTTATCTGCATGTTCCCACTGGGAGCTTCTGGGGTGTTTTTCTGGTACGACTGCTAGGTCTACTAAATTATGTGTGACACAAACTATTTAAAATGTACAAAAATATGCAAAGTAATGCATTCAAAATGAAGCTTGGTTATTTACTAGATGACTATGTTACTTAGGCAAAGCATTTATCATTTTTGAGCCTCAATTTTCTCATCCATTATATAAGGATAACTACTCTCTAAAAAAGAAATGATTTAATAAATTCAGGTATGGGAGATCATCTTACTTCATATCTGGTACATGGTACAATCTCAATATATTTTCTGAATGTTACTTTGGGCAGTATAAAGAAATACAGCTCACCATTTATAAACTAAACACAAAGGCCAATCATGCTGGTGCAGGTGAGATTCTCAATACATTTTCGAGGACTGGAAGTGATGATTTTGTTATTCTAATGGAGCTAGAATTTAAGACTTCCATTCTATCAGAGATGCTAGATTTCCAAGCAACACTGCTTTTTAGCAGTTATTAAAACAGGAAACCATTTGTTGGAGAAGTACTAGTCCCTACCTCTGACCTTCATTTGTTCTCCAGTCTTCTCACTTTCCCAAAAAGGACCACCTATGAACTATCAAGTTATGGTCAAAAATCAGTAGTGCAGATTCCTCCAATGAAGTGAATGGGATTGCAAGTGGGTACTGCATGTAAAAGTAGTTTTATGCAAATATGGCTTTTGAGGCTACTCCGTAACTATGACCAATGTAATAATGGCTGTGCTTTATTGAATATATCCTTTAGTCAATCTGCCATGCTAAGGGATTTCAGACATATTTCATTTACCGTTCCTAACAATCCTATATGCAGTCTTTAGTGCTCCCATTTCATCGCGGAAACGGGCTCGACCAAAGTCAAATCACTTGTCAAAGCAACACATTTAGTAAATAGAGAAGCTTACAACCTTTCCTTTGTTGTTTTTACACTACAGAATTAGAAACTGTTGCACCAAGACTATGTACACATGGTTGGGCATGGGGAAAAGGGCTCTAATTTCCTGTTATCTGAACCTCCTAGGGTTTTTCTGGGCAGATGTGTCCTTTCACTCCATCTACTGTACTTGTATTCTTCCCCAGCCCAGTCTACTATAAGCAGCAAACCTGTTAACATAATGCTCTGCCAACACAGCATCCACTAAGAACTGAGAAGATAGTTTGGTTTCTGCTTATATGAGTCTTTTAAACATTATCTGGATCATCTCATTTTCCCACTCCTGTTTCTGACCACTGGTGATAGTGTAGAAGTCAGACTACAGTTATTCCCCAACTTGCAAACACTTGAGTTGTGAACTTTGACAGGTGTACTGTATAAGATTCACTTTATCGGCCTACAGATGAATCCAACTTATGTACAATTCGCCTGGAACAGAACTCATTCATGAGCTAGAGGACTTGCTATAATTACTTGAAGCATGACCTGCTCACCTTAACAGTATGGGCTGGCTTCCAGTGAATAACACACCTGTCCAGAATCACACAGGGGAGGGCAATCTACATGAAGGTACAAACGCAACAACTCACTTCTTCCTGGCCCTAACCTTTTCACTCTGACATTATGACTCTTCTACCTTCATGGTATTTTTCAGGTGCCTTGGACAAGACAGGAAGCAAATAACTACTAGGCAAGCTAAATAATGCTTCCTTTTACTTGTTTTTTCTTCCTCTGTATTGAGATTCTTGACCATTTGCAACTAGAAGGAAAGACAGTGTTTTGATAAAACCATAGATTGTCCGGTTGTTTTAAAGTACTGTATTTTTCAAGGGTTCTACTTCTCTGACTTCTTTACACTTTTAATAAAAAATAGTAGTTTATCAAGTATCTCATCACAGAGCTTCATCCTCAGAACACTGAGAGGAGGTGGGGAAGGCAGGCTAGCTGGAATGGCTGTGAGCTGCTATACTTTTGAAAGCCATCCCTTCTAGTCTGACTGCTGAAGTAAATGCCCACAATATGTTGTAACAAAAGACACACTCTGATTATTGCTCTAGAACAATAATCCTTTCAGCCTTGGTCTGTATTACACATAGAAAATGGATTATTTTACTTTACCTTGGCATATACCATAATCTATGCCAAGTCATTAAAGTATTTGATGTCATTCAATTAAAACTAGAAAAGTAGATCTGTGAAGATGGATGATCTTAGCATCATTTTGAAGTCATTTTAAACTTCGACTAGGATAGAGACATGGAAACAGTTCAAGAACTGAGATCAATGTAGTCAAAAGTTTTGAAGCAAAAATTGCACATTACTAGTATTGTAGTTCCCCCTAGGTACATGGTAAACCACATCAATAAATAAAGCAATTGTCTTTTCAGCAATGCACAGTTAAATAGTTACAAACGTACATGTAGAAAAAGGATACAGTAGTGCAAAAAATAAATTATTAAAACAGAAGTATGAACATTATTTTACACAATGCTCTATAAAACCTGAACCATTTGGAATGAGAACTCAAGTCAGTGAAATAATGCAGCAACATTATTAGTATCTTTGCTTCACATTTCAACCACTCAGTCATTCACCTATGTTAGAAAGAAAACTAAAGCAAAATCATGTTAAACTTCCAGAAAATCTTATGTTAAAATCATTTTTTTCCTGGGCTTTTAAACACCTCTGCAGTTTATGTAGTTGTGCAGCATCTCAAGAAGAATCTTAAGACAAAAAAGTTTCAAACAGGTCACATTCATTTGGTCTTTCTACTTCATTTCTCTGTGTGATCAAAGGTAGGTAAACACACCTCTGTTTGATAACCTCTTCTGTTAAGATGTTATTGCAAATAGATGTATTTACAGGCAGATATCCTCCCCAAGGGAGCAGGGAGGATGGGTGCTTCTCTTCAGCAATTCGCTCTCACTAGTTTTGGTTTCGGGATATAAAAGCCAGGACTCGTCGAATACCATTCAGTCTATCTTTTAAGGATCTCATTGCGAGAAATGGGAGTTGAGCTCGACTTTCCAAGGGAAGAACAGCTAGTGTCCACCAGCACCAGGCTGGGCCATTCGGGTTAATCTGCAACAGAGAAACACAATGGGTTCATCCTATTCCCACACAAGCCGTACCAGCCTGCAGCCTTCCAAAGCCCGAGGTCAACAGCCCTGGTGTAACTGGTCCTATGTGTGGCGGAGACTGCTCATTGCCGCTGTATCTATTTCTCCTGCATTTCAGTGGGCATTGGGCCACTGGGACAGGGAAGGACACTTTATTTCTCAGCCTCCTTGCAGCTAGGTGGGGCCGGAAGACAAAGTCTGGCTGGGACATACAGAGAACATATGATCCGTGTCATTTCATTTCTGAGTACACCCTAGGAAAGCAGCATGTGCTCTTTGCCTTCGTCCTTCTCTCCTTTCCCTCTGCTAGATCGCAGACATGGTGATGATCAGTTTTCCTCAGTTAAGAGGACAGAAGTAGCACTCTATGGACAGTATAGCTTCCACATGAAGGAGACTGGTTCCCTGGATATTGTCATGGACTAGCCCCACACAGCTTAGGCTTTCTGTCTTGATTGAGCTACAGTTACTATTAATACTTGTTAAAGCAAACAGACCAAAATCTTAACAAATAAAGCATGCCGCCCATCTAGTGTGATTTTCTGAGCTGACATTATCTGCTCAGTTTCTCCCACTTCTGAGATTTTGTTTAGATCTGAACTGATGTACACTTCTGCAGGCCTTTGATTGCCATGACTCCTCAGGCTTTGCATGTCTCCTACCTCCCTTCATTGTCTTACCCTGCTGACAGCAATAGTCCAGATACATCAGGGTACTATGCAGGGCTCCTGCAATCATCTCCTCTGCAACCATGCACTGCGATTTACAGTCTCGAAGAACAGCAGCCTCACACTGCAGAATTTCCAACTGGAAAACACGTTCTAGCTCCCCGGTTTCCCGTAAAGAGCTTTCTCAACCCATAGAAATCCTTCACAAAGATTCTATTTGTAATTAGCTTTCTGAGCATGCATTTTAGACACTGATGACTTATTTCCTACTAAAACTGAAATGCTTCCCACGGCTTTCAGGAAGTTGACTTTAAGAGAGAACCAAGTTCTACTTGAACCCCCTGATACCCAGGATTACTCCAAAATTGGTTCATCTGATTCCCCTCAAATCTCATTGCCTTCTTTATTTTCTGTGTCTTTTGGCTTCCTCTGGATTCCTTTTTGTCCTTCAATGCAGTCTGTAACATGTTCTGTCCTATTTATTATTTCTGGATATTAGGTTGATATTCTGAACTTTTCCAGGGTCACCAACAAAGACATTTAATATATGTAGTAGTTTCTAAGAAACTTCCTCCTGAGGCTTGGAATATTCTTATTCATGAGACTTACAGGGGCTATAGCGCTGGCAATAGCAAACCATACTGGTTTCAGTGTTTATTTGTTTCTGGTGCTGTCACCACCAGAGCTACATGATAACAACCAAGAAAGGAAATGAAACCCAAGATTTCAGCTTTCTGTATCATTAAGCCCTTAGGAATCACAGCTCAGCATCTGTGCTTTCTCCTGTGGAAGATACGGTCAGCATTGCTGATCTCTCTCTTGCCTGATGGGGAGAATACTTCCCAGCAGGTGAACAGGAACATTAGGCTGCTCACGAGCTTGCTTAGACCTATGCTGTAGTCCTGAGTCACCATGGCCCAGAGCCAGGAGCTGGGTCACTAGAAAGTGCTCATTGGTCTTTCTCCCCTCAAATGTCAAAATACCTTTGCACAGGAAGAGAGGGGCCACCTCCATAGCCTAGAGAAGAGCAAGACATTTCAGCCTTTTAGGGATGAGAGAGGTGGTTTGGAGCCTTAAAGTGCAAGAAAAAGAGGGAACTTTGAAGACCTCTCTATCCACCCCTCTCACTTAAAAAAATGAGAAAAGGGAAAGGATTTACCCAAGGTCATGTGGTTAAAGCTTCCTTCCTTCCTTCCTTCCTTCCTTCCTTCCTTCCTTCCTTCCTTCCTTCCTCTCTGCAGGAACAGGGATTGAACTCAGGCCCTTGCGCTTATTCTACTGAGCTATCTCTCTGGCCCCCATGCTGTTACAAAGGTAGGCAAAACCAACGCATTAGCAGAGAAGCCAGAAAATAATAGTCATATTTCTTTACTGTGACAGAATCAAAAACGAGCCTAACAATCAAAGAAGGCATAGCAGTGATAATGCAGGAGAGCCAGCTTAGAGCATGGGAAATGTTGGCAGCAAAGAAATTCTGCTTCAGCATATCTCTAGCCTTGTCTTAGAAAGGAAATCTTTCCAAAGCTGAATTTCTCTGAAAGGATGCCAAGCAAGTAAAGACTGGTGAAACGCAACTCTTTCCACTTTCCTAGAGAGTCCGTGACTGCAGCTTGATCTCACATATGGGCCTACTTCCCAAGGAAGATCTATGCAGCGAAATGCAGTAACCTAGTCTCTGAAACAGTTCAGCCAAGGGTGAATTTAAATATGGGCTCAATTTTCTCAGAACTTATTCACTGCTGATGTGGACAACAGCAAGGTTCTAGACTTGTAGGGCTGAGCTGGATGGGCATGAGTATGACAAGTTTCTGTGGCCAGGCTTGCAGCTGAAGTGTGCCTTGCTCTTTCTCCTAGCTCCTGCACACAGCTTGAAACCCTAATGCTACCATGGTGTGAATGTGGATGTCTGCTGAAGGTTGTTCTGCTATTGGTACCTATGGCCTGTTCCCTCACCTTGCTTATCTCTTGACATCGGCCTTGGATCAAGTTCTCACGCCTTACTTCAGTTACACCAGTTCTAACTTAGGATCCTGTTGTTATCACCCATGATGCTCACTGACCAGTGGAACAATACCACTTTGGATCCATCTTCCTCTCTGCATTTATTTATTGGATAAACACCACCCACTCAATCTACTCACCAATTTTTGAAGCTCCTATCTGGTGGAGCAACCCAGTATTAACATTTCATATACCTGAGACATTTCATATACCTGAGGATCAGCATCTTTCTCTGGCATTGGACCAAAGTGATTGAGTATTCGATTCTTCAGAGATGATTTGAGTGAGTGAAACCATGATGATGCTTGCTCGTAAACACAGTTATGTAATCCCATGAGCTCAGCACAATCTTCTCCCTGAACCTGAAAGTACCACAGGGAAAGTGAAACACTCTGTGTATTTCCCGCCTCCCAGAGTTGCTTATGACACCTGACTCTTCCAGCATCCCAGCTGGCTCCTAGGTGAGATATAAAAAACTCCCTAGTCAGGTGTTGGACTGTGTATAAACATGTGGATGGGGAGAAAGACCAAGGGTTTGATTGGTAGAGAAGCTGAAACAGGAAGATACACAGAAAGCCAAACACTCAGACCTGGGAGGAGAGACATGTTAAATCATGTAATGACTTATGCCTCTGTCTTATTCATTTTTAAATCCATTTCCCCATTGTTCACTGGGAAGAGATACATGTGTATCTGCACCTCAGTGTGTAACTATCTTCAAAGCAAATCAATTTTGGAGTTGATCAAATATTTATGAATATATGGCTCAGTGAAAATAAATGCAAATAAGCATGGAATTATTGACCTCTTCTATTCATTACCTCAGAAAACCAAGGATGAGTGAGACATGTCATGTGTCTGTTTTGGGAGGTGATGGATGATTCTGCTTTAGAGAAAGGGTTTTTTCTAGTCAGGTTGTGGATTTGAAAGTACAAATGTGTGTACGAATCTACAATGATAGTAGATTTGAAAGTTTGAAATTATAATAAAACTGAATTAATAGATAAAATACCCATGTGTAGACCCCACTCCAGATCTACTCCTTGGTGTCCTGAGCAGAAGTGTAACCCTTAGGCTGCCCAGGCTTCAGGGTTAGTCTAGGGTGGCATTTCTTATGCATGACTTCCACTCAGCAGCTAAGCAGGGACAGCCAGGACAATGGGTGCCTTCACCACCATTCTGCAACAGGACAGCAACCTCGCAGCATTCCACTGCAGAAGTTTGGTGAGAAATCCCAAGACCCCAAGACAGTTCTCAGAAATCCTCCTGCAATGATCATTGTACGCTAAGTTACAAGGACAGTGATGGCTTTGGGTTTCTTGGCACTAGCCACTCTCACCTTTTGATCTTCAATGTATTCAATGTCGGCTGTATTGTAGCCATCACGCTGGCCCTGATGGAGCACCTTGAAACGCCTCTTGCCTATGCTGTCAACCACTGAGCGGCCATCAGCAAAGAACTGAACATTTCTGATCTCTAGGATGCAGCCATATTCTGCAAATCTGTTCATTGAGAATAAAGCAAGAAAGTAGATCTTTAAGTTTTATTCTCAAGCCCAGAACCCCAGCCATTTATGGAACTCTATGGTACACCTCCAGGGACATCTGTCTAATTACCTACTCCAGGGTTTACAGCTACAATTGTAGAATAGGAAGTGCCTATACAGTGTATGATGAAAATTTCAATGTAGTAGTATATCTGCTACCATTTATTGAGCACATATTATGTGCCAGGTCTATGATTTGAATGTTGGCACCTCTCAAAGCCCATGTTGAAATGTAATTGACATTGTAACAATGTTTAGAGGTGAGACCATTGGGCAAAGATTAGGCAATGAGGGCTCTGTCCACAAAATGGATTGATGCCGTTTTGCAGGTGTGCATTTATTATACGGGACAGGTTGGACCTGCTTTCTCTTACTCTGTTGTTTCTCTTTTCCATGTACTAAAATAACCAGAAGTCTCCTATCAGATGCTGGCACCTTGATCTAGGACTCATCAGCTTCCAGAATCAGGATAAATTTCTACTGTTTATAAATCATGCAGTCTATGGCATTCTGCTACAGTATCCCAAAATAGACTTGGACAGCCGGGGATTGCACTTAGTGTTCATTTGTAACTCAACAACCCCCCTCCAAGAAAACTCAATGAGGTCAGCGCTATCACCATACTGTCTTAACAGACAAGAGAACTAGATGCAGAAAGGTTAAGTAACTTGCATAAAGTCAACTCTGCTCTAAGGCTGGGGCTAGAATATAAGTCTAGGCAGTTCGACTCCATATCTCACACTCTGTCCACAAAATGGATTGATGTTATTACAAAACACGTTTTGTAATATATACTTCCTGCTTAACAAAATATTAATTGTGCATTTCTTTTACATAGATATCCTCACACAGTACAATAGGCACCAGAGGGACTGTGATCCTTACAAATGCTCTTGTTCTTTTTTTTTTTTAATGGAATAAGGATTTTTTTTTTGCTCCAAATGCCCTCAGGACTGGGTTTGGCTGGCTGGAGTGTTGTGGGGATCGAACTACAGCAACCTGAGGCTGACAGCTTTGTAGAAGCAGCCACTTAAAGAACTGAGCTAGGGCCAGGCCCCCTTAATGCTCTTGTTCTTGAGCTGGCTAAACCTCATGAGCTCCCCAACTCTGAGAGCACCTCAAAGTACAACAGAAATCCTGCTCTACCCCAGACTCCTTTACTTCCAGGGCTCTTCACTTACCCTTTGACAGGATCTCCAAGGCACATGCCAAACTGTCTCGTGCCTGTCTCAATGCATCTCCGAATCATCAGGCGGTAACAAGGCTCAAAGATATGCAGGGGACAAGGAACGGTTGGATAGGCCATGGTACATACGAAAATAGGTACATTCTTATTTAAGCTGTCAAGAAGAGCAAATGAGATGGATCTCAAAGCAACAGCCAAAGCACAGAAAGTGTTGCTAAACATCACCATGCAGTCCCCCCAAGTAAAGGGAAGGAGTCTTTTGAAAGAAAAACACTGACATGCAACTCAGGCTGCCGGTTGAGTCCCATTATTGGTGCAGAGGCTGGTCTGAGGTCTGAGAGACTGACACTGGCATTGTACACACTGTCCTTTGGCTGATATTTTCTAGTACCTGAACATGGGGGTGATAACTATGTTGTATATTTTTTCTTTCTTTCACCTCTCCACTCAAAATGACTTCTTTGTTGAAGAAGGAAGGATACTCTCCAGAGCTGCGGTGAAAAATTCCCTGCAAGGTCTTCACAAACTTTTCAAATTTGTAAAGTCCTCCAGAGAATGTGCACAGCAAGCCCAGGTAGGAGGATAAGCAAGGAACAAACAGACAAGAACAATCCAGCCCGATAAAACTCAAATGTTCCTGTACATCACAGCTATCAGAGATCCTTAAATCCTGATGAGCAGGGCACCACAGCCCCAAATATAATGCCATATCAGCCCTGGAGTTAGGATCCAGGAGTTTACCTTTCTAAAAGTACCCCACGATTCAGACACATATAGCACCAGGAAACCCCCAGTTGCATCAGGTCCTTCTGGGTCCCTGTCTTATTTGTCTAGTAAATCTAATGCAGAAATATCTGCATTAAAATCTACCAAGAAATATAAAGTCATTTGCCCAAATCTCAAAAAGATAAGGTTTACAATTCCTTTAAATAGAAATCTTACTAGGACATTCTAGTATTTATTAACACATTTTAAGTAATACTTGAGCTATTTAAGTGATATCTGAGTTGGCTTAATGTCAACTTGAGAATAAGATGAAATATAAAGATGCTCTGAGTAGTTCCAATATAAGGCAATCAATGAGAAAATAAAGACTTCTAGTTTCTGAGGAAAACATTATTTAAAGTGAGAGGCATATTTAAACAAACTGGCAGTTTAGAAATGTTCTCTACAAGGTAGGCACAAAACCAGAATACTTTTTTTTGTCATCCAGACCATACCTCTAGAACACTGTAAGCATTTCAGTGAGGGTGGGGAGAGGGCAGGGCAGCAGAGAGAGGGCCCCAAACTCGTGATATCCTCCTGCTTGCTCTGCCAGGTGAGCAGGCAGAGAGCTTGAGGCCTCATGTCCATTACCATCCCTGCGATCACCTCTCATGTGTGTACAGCAGGGCAAGCATATAAGAAGTATTAGTGCCACTGGCATGTATGACATGCTAATCATGTACCAGCTCATTGGGTTTTCTTGAGTCCATGGGATAAGAACTGGTATCTCCAAGTTACAGGTGAAAAAAATGAGACTCAGAAAGGGTCATGAAGTCGTCTCAGATAGCAATATGTAGCTCAAACCCAGGCCCAACCCCAAACTTCTTAACCTCATAGCACTGCCTATGTATTTGCAGGCAACTTGGGCACATCATAAATTCTCCTAGTTAAGCCATTTCAAGTTACTCCTGCCAGCAACATCCTATGACTTGCATCCATATGTATCCTGGTTGGACTTAGGCTTCTTCAGTGGTGTGCTGGTAAATGGTTACCTGTTTTCCAGGGGAGAGGGAAGCCCTGCTTTGTAGCACTTGCTGATTCGCATGGTGTAAATACTCTCACTAAAGCCAACTTCAAGCTACCAACATGCTATCACTGAATGAGGAACTCAGAAGAAATGTACACATTCAACTCTCATGAGCTCGTCTGAATGAAACCAAATGCAGAAATATATGTATAACGTATACGTATACAATATACATACTTAGAGAGTTCTTCCATTTCCTCTTCATAAAGCCTTTTTCGTTCTTTGAGTTCTTCTGGAAGGAATTTAGCTATTAGCTCTTCCATGATTACATTTTTGCTGTATTTTCTTGATGCCAAGCACTATGTAGGGAACAAGGCAATCAGATATTGTGCAGTCATCAGAAAAACACAAAGGATGTCTAATATAGTCAGTAAAGTAGTCAAATGACTCACATACTATCATATGAATTTCCTGAATGTTAGGCTTAATTTTTTTTTTAAATTTTAAAAATGACACGGGGAACCTATACTGTAACATCATGTAACTCAGTTGTATCCCATATTTTCTGATCAAGAAGATTATGGGGCCACAGAGCAATATGATTGATGATGTAGAGTGTGGCTGAGGAGAGTCATCTGGAGAGAAAACATTCTCTCAGGCTTTCACAGAGAGCAAATTGGCCAAGCAATGGTTGTGACTCATCCACATGGCTGACACTGACAAAGGATCTGCAAACTGCAGTACAGGGTTACAGGATAAATCCTGAGGGGATTTAACTGACCTTATCAGATACAAAGGTTACATTTCTTGTTATATAGGTCTTGCTTTATCTTGGTCTTAACCATCCAGCAGAAGAGTATAAAAATGAGGTATATAAAATAAAGCCATATTAATGTGCTGAGCTGTGAAAGGCTGAAGTCTACAACTTCTGACATTGCCAGTCCTATGGATAACCCACTACTATTATGGACTACTGGACTATATTAGATTATTTTGCTGAATTCACATACCTACAATATTTAAATGGCAATGGAATACCCATCTCTGACAAAACTAAACAAAAAAAGGATACAAAGGAAGGACACTTTTGTATCTGTATATACAAAATAGGATAGATATACAGCTATTTTCTCATAATTCAATGAGAAGAAAGATTTGTACTAATAGTATTTGGACAGGATATCATCTCTGCATCTCGTACTATGAATAACCACTAAAAAGATAATAATATGCAATGTATTAATTATTGAAACTGTCCTATTAATCAGTTTTGAAACTGTCTCATTGCTGTTTCTCAATAAAATAAAATTTTAAAAAATAAATTTCAAAAATGCAATTAATTACCTTAATAATTAGAAAAAATATTTCCACAGAGAAAGAACCTGAGTTTGAAATTTAAAAAAAAAATCACAGGGCTTTCTTAAAACATTGAAATTGGAATCATTCTGTTGGACAACAAAGACATGATCCTCTTTTTTGTTTTCTCTGATTATTTTGTTTACAAGCTTTTTAGTCTCTATTTGGAATATGTTAAAGTCAGTAGCCAAAAGGTTCAGGGAACTGAAGAGCAAAGCTCACTGAGCCTTTCCTGCTCTTCCCTGATCCCAGTCCCAAGTCTGTACATTCTGTACACACAAACAGCTAACTACTCATGATTGTTTCTGCCTATATACCTTTTATTTTTGTATTTTAAGGAAGGGTCTACAGGGTGTTCAGGATCTCACTACTGGATCGGACTTGTAGTCATCCGCCTGTTTATAGCCTCCCCAGAGCTGGGATTACAGGCACGCACCACCACGCCCAGTGTTAATATGCCATCTATATAAGCAAAATTATGTCATAAACCATAATTACAGAACCAGACTAAGCTTTTTTGTCACTATGACTTTCCTCTCAAATACCCCTAGCCCATGTATATTTAGAGATGCGCAAGTGGAAATATTCAGTGGTGTCAACCAAGCCACTTATGTTAGAAAATTGCTGTGGAAACTACCCCTACAGATCCACCAGGGGGAGCTCCAGAACACGAAACTGTTGCCTTCAGGTAATTCTTGTCTTTCCCAGCACTGGTAGTCTCTATTCTGCAATAGACATGATTGAAATGCTTATCTCTGTATACAATGGTGTGTGATCCTGTGTGAATTTTCTGAGAGATGAAAGTATCTTCTAGCCCCTGAGACTAGGATCATGCAGTATATGCATCTTGGACACCTTAGCAGCCACTACTAGTGGCCACAGTGAAAAAACTGTGTTACTCAGGCCTTGTAGGGCCCTGTAGCCAATCCAAGAAGGTGATGCTACAACACAAAACCCAGGAACGGCACAGCCTAAAATGTTCATGGTAGTTTTCTTTAGGTGCTCAACATATGGGTAGACTTTTCTTCTTTCTGCTTATCTCAACTTTGCATTGTTATCGCAGCACAGACAAATTACTTATGTATAAGGACCGTGGGCTTCTCATCTACAACCAGGTCAGCAAATTCCACACATTTGCCTAGGGAAAAGGATGGCTTTGATCTCTTCCAAACACATAGCTTCAAAGCTAACCCTGATAGTTATTTTATTCCATTCCCTTAGTGAGAATGTTAGGAAAAGCTTAACTTGGGACTTCTCTGGGTCTACATCCACATAGACAGTTTTGGGTCTCCAACCTCTCCTCAGGAATAAAAAAGGTCACAGAACATTAACACTGATAGTAAATGTGATGCACAAATCCCTGAAGGAGGGAAAACAAAATGCATTCCTGGGTCTTCTTTAATTTTTAATTAATTTTATTGAGAAAAAATTGCAATGTGACAGCTTCAAAATAGGTTGGTAGGAGAGTTACAACAATTAATACATCACACACTGTTGTACTTGCAGTAGTTATTCATAGCACGAGATGCAGACATGATATCCTGGGCCTTCCTCTACCAGAGGACATTCTATCATATTCACTTGCAAAATGAAAGTAGGAGTTTGTGTGATAAATTTTACAGAAGCTAAGTCCTCCAGAGCTTTTCAAGTACCCGGGTATCAGCTAAGTAGTACAGTGACTCCTGACTGATTAGGTTTGGAACTGGCTGGTGGGACAGATTTTGGCACCGAGAAGTGGAGTCACTGCTGAGACTGTACCTAACCATGTGGTTCAGAAATCTTTGAAACTGGCCTGCAGGAAGTGTTTGCAAAGGTTTAGAGAAGTTAGCTGAAGCAGTGACCCTGGAATGCCTTAAACTGTGTTTGATGGGAGATTCTAGTCAGAACTCAGAAGACCAGAAAGCTGATAGAAATCCTGACTGTAAATACCAGGCTCAGGAGGTTTCTGTTGTGAAGAAAAAGACTATACTGGCTGTTGGGCTTCAGATCATGTGCAGTTTTCTTTGGTAGAAAATTTGTCTATATTTTGCTCATGTCCAGACACTTGGCCTGAGGTTGAGATTAAGTGCAGGGGACTGGTTAATCTGGCAGAAGAATTTTCAAGGCAGTCTAATGATGAGGTAGTGGCATGGCTATCATTGAAGGCTTTTAGCCAGATTCATGTTGAAAATTAAGAGCAAAGAGCCCAGCTAGATGATTTAAAATGTTGTATGTTTGACTAAAAAGGATGCTTTTGTAAAGCTGCAAACTGCAAAGACAAAGCAAAGGAGAACCTGGTTTCTGAGAAGGAATAGGGCACTGAAAATATAGCTTGAGGATATCACAAGAAACAGCAGGACTCCAAGTTTTGCAGGCTCAAGAGATTACAAAGGTGAAAGAATTTGCTTTGAGAAAAGAGCTGGCATAGCATGCAGTACTGGGGATTGAACTGGGTCCTTGCTCTTTCCAGGCAGGTGCTTAGACCACCGAGCTATCTCCGTGGCCTCATAGCATCTATGTTTATCAAATATTTAATACTTTTATTTCCAACACAAATTAATCACATTACAGATAGTTCATGAAAAGCTAGATGTTGCTTCATTTTCTTGAAGGGAGGGCTTCCTAGAAGACAGGGGAAATATACTACTGACCTGAGGCAATATTTTGCTCTAGCATACTACAATGATTTGGGATCCAGTTAAACCCTTAATATCGAATTGTACAGTTCACCCAACTAAGAAAGAAATACTGCTTTACCTGGGAAAGACCATCCTTGCACAAGGGACATTTTGCGTTGTGATCCAGGCATCTTTCAAGGCATTTTAGACAAAAGGTGTGCCCACAAGGCGTTGTGACTGGCTCATAGAATAATCTGGAATGTAGGAGTCAGAATGGAAGAAAATTGTAGTAAGACCAAAAATAACAAAAAAGTGCTCACGGGTAAGGTTTCATAGAACTATTTGAAAAAAAACCGTGTAAAGGATTGCTTCAGTTTTTAATCACGGCTATTACTGCACGTCAGAAAATTGTTTGCTTTTAATTTCTGAGGCAGATTAAAAGTAATGCAGTTTTTAAAGTTTAGGGTATAGCTAGATCACTTTGCAATATTTGTTCTAGTCTCTCTCTTCTGGAACACCCAAATCTTTTCCCCTGTCTGATCCCAGAAAAATATAGTTTAATCCCAGAGTGAATAGATTCCATATAAAAATATTTAGCCAACTTCTTCACCTGAGTATATGTAAATACACATACACACACACGCACAGACACATATGTACATATACACATACTATAGTTCCAGTAGATCCTACTTTAATTGGTTTGGAATGGCAGTGTGTTTTTCAAAAACAATCTTGGTATCTTTTACTAAAGGTGTTCTGGACCTTTAGGGATATATCAGTTCACTACAGAAAGAATGGTTTAGCTGTGCGTGGTAGCACATGCCCATAATCCCAGCACTCGGGAGGCTGAGGCAGGAGGATTGCAGCAAGTTCGAGGCCAGCCTGAACTACAAAGTGGGCTTAAGACCAGTCTGAACTAAAGAGTGAAACCTGACTCAAAAAGGGGGAAAAAAAAGGAAGGAAAGAAGACGACTAGTGGGCAGGAGTAATGGCAATATTTAAGAAGTTGAACTAGCAGTCACTAAGAGGACAAGCACACAGAAAAGAGAAACCTCATCGACCTGTTTGACCTCTCAAGAATGTTCCGTTGAGGGAAAGAGATGGGCAGATATACAGCTCCTCACATTGGCTAGGTGGTGCACCAGCAGCCTAGCGCACACTGCCAGGCTGAATGCAAGAAATGAAATGTCAGAGTCCAAATGTTCTTGAGAAGAAAGTGAATCCATCAACTAGAATAAAACAGGTTTGGCTGGCCAGATAGCTCAGCAGATTAAAGCACCTGCTTAGGCAGATGCAGGGACCAGGGTTTGACCCCCGGCAAGGTGTGCCAGCCCCACCACTGGGATGTGCTGAGATGGCGACTGAGACTGGGCTTGGTGGCGCGCACCTGTAATCCCAGCACTTGGGAGGGTGAACACAGGTGGATCACTCTGAGTCTGATCTGTGTAGTGAGACCCTGTACTAAGTACATTAAAAAAAACCTGAGGCTCTGAGCTGGTGAAGATGCTTATCTAAGTATACACTACCATTAACAGTGGAAGGTCTCTCCAATTTTCACTTGCATTCATATGCCATTTTATTACACAATGATTCTCAACCATTAGTGTGCATCACAAATACCAGAGGGCATTTAACAGCTTTTTTCTTCTCTCTTTTTTTTTCTTTTGGTGGAACCGGGGATTGAACTCAGACCCTTGCACTTGTCAGGCAAGTGCTTATTCTACTGAGCCATCTCCTTGGCCTATTAACAGCTTTTTTGATGCATAATTGACACACAAGAAGTTGAACATACTTAAATCGTACAATTGGATATGTTTTGATATATGTACACACCCATGGAACTATCATCACAATCAAGATAGTGAATGTACACACCTATCACTCCCAATTGTTTCCTCCTGCCCCTCCCCACACCACTCCTTATCACTTGAAGTGGATTCTTTAACTGTAGATTCACAAGCATGCACCTGCAGAGATCCAGAGAGGTAGGCCTGGGGTCCAAGCTAAGCATCAGGATTTTTAAAGCTCCTAATTGGTTTCAACATGCATTCAATGTTGAGAATCACTGCACTACAGAATCCTACCAATCTCTGCATAGGCAGACCTTCTGTATTAGTCCTCAGACATTATTATCAATCATCCATGGAGCTTTGAAAACATTTGCACAGGAAAGCCACATTCAGCAGGTCAAGAGGAGAGACAGACATTTGATAATTTTGACATGTCCATGAAATTCCAGAGAAGAAAGACTATATATATATACATATATTCACTTCTTTGTACTTTCTGAATTTTATAATTTGTTTAAAAAGTAGTTAATTTGTCAAAGAGAATGAATAAACTTTATTTATTAAAAATGCCCAATATGTAAATCTTCAAAAAGAAAAATCTTTTATATGTTAGAGGCCTTAACAGTGCACTGAAGCAAGAAGACAAATATGAGAACTGCAGAGAGACAAATCTACCACTATTCTCCTACGGTATAATAAAGAGTAAGGAATTTAGAAACCAAAAGAATCTACATAGTGACTGTCTTAACTAAGAATAGAACTAGTAAGATTGCTAGGTGAATATACACATCACGGTTGTGGTTCTGTGTAGTTCTAGCAATGTAATGTTTAAAATACAGCTTAAGATGACAGAACTCCTTTTCAAAAATCAAGTACCCAGGAACCTAACACATCTAATAACAGGTGGGTGAGGTCTTTATTGGGAAAAAATACTATAAATACTTCATTGAAAAAAATAAGACATAGTAAGTCCAAATAAAAATTCCTATGGTTATTTCATTTGGTTTTATCTCTCCCCACCAATTATATCCTTATATTGTGTTCTTTTGCTATCAAATTAGAACAAGGAAGGAATAAAGAGAAGGAGGGCAAAAGTGAAAAGAAAATGAACTGATCCAGAGACTTAAGAAGCTAAAACTAGGTTAAATCTAAAGCTTCTTTCAACTGACAAAGACAGCACTAGGCCATTAGGTCCACATATCAAATATTCTCACTTCTGATCTCAAGATCGTCTAAGCATCTCAAAAGAGCTAGGAAACATGACAGAGGCAAGCCATAGAGTTGTATGTACAAGATGGGTAAGGCAATGACTCTGAGACTCTTCAGAAGATTTTCGAGTCTAGCAGTTAATTAGAAGGCTTCTCACCCTGACTAACTATATATATTGACACCTGTGAACTAAGCAACTGCACTGAAGATGGCAACTTGTAATAGTAGGTTCATGCTTGGAGTGCCTGTCATTCTGGTCTTCTGAGTACGGGCTGCTTGTCATGACACGCTGGTTGCTGCCATGCGGTCTTTTGGGTAGATGATTGTTTAAAGGGAAGGGGGGATGAATGAAGGCAGGACACAGGAAAAGGAGTGTTGCAGGACTGTCCTGCTACAATGCTGTATAGGGTTAGATTTCTGGACTTATGTGTAAACATATATAATTCTTCATTCCTATTTTTAAAATATATTTTAAGATTTTTTTTCTGTAAGGACTTAAAGTTTAACATACCAATACTTGATGAAAAATACCTGTTCCATGTTATGCCTAAGATGTTTGATATTCAGACAGATAGTGAGGTTAAGCTCAACAGCCTAGGTTGTATGGTAATAACAATAAGCTTCTCTTCCGGAGGGTTAACAACCTAAGTTTGCAGACCAAAATTAGAGAAAAAGGAGGGCTGCAAGGAAAGCCAACATTTTGGCCCTAGCCTTCCAAGGTCAATTAAGACTCAGGACATATGAGAACTTGTACTGTAACATCATGTAACTTAGTTGTGTCCCAAATTTTCTGACCAAGGAGATTATGGGGCCAAAGAGGAAAGTGATTGATGATGTCAAGTGTGCCTAAGGAGAGTCACATGGAGAGAAAACATTCTCTCAGGCTTTCACAGAGAGCAGATTGACCAAGCAATGGCTGTGACTCATCCACATGGCTGACACCGACAAAGGTTCTACAATCTGAGGTACAGGATCTCAGGATAAGTCCTGAGGGGATTTGACTGACCTTGAGATCCAAAAGCTACAACTCTTGTTGCATAGGTCTTGCTTTATCTTGGTCTTAACCATCCAGCAGAAAAGTACAAAAACGAAGTACAAGAAGTAAAGCCATGGTGTTATGTTGAGCTGTAGGGGACTCAGGTCAGCAATTTCTGACATTGCCAGTGGTCTCTTTTAGAATATTTTGCTGAGTTAACACACCTATAATATTCAAATGATGGAACTTAACAAAAAAGGGGATACAGATGAATGTCCATTTTGTATCTGTGTATGCAAAATGGTTAGGATAGATACATAATTACATTCTCTAATGAATAGAGGGATTTGTTCTAATAGTGTTTGTAAATAGGATATCATGTCTGCATCTTGTACAGCAACTAACCACTAGGAAGCAAGTATACAATATGTTAATTATTGGAACTGTCCTACCAATTTGATTTGAAATTGTCTCATGCTTATTTGTTTCTCAATAAAATTATGAAAAAAAGAAAAGAAAAAAAGAGAAATAAAAAAGTGCTGCTTCACGGCAGCGCCAGAAGTGGGCCCCCCTAGCTATGGTAGCCACGCCAAGAGAACCTGAATGAAAGATTTTAAGCTGCTAAAGAGTTCTGGAAAGAGCTCGAAGGTGCTGAAGCTAGGGGGCAGCTTCCTTTAACAGAGCTCTCCTGATTCGGCAAGGAAGACGTGCAGATCGGAAAGGCCCTCATCAGTGCACCCTCCAGGGACTGTTCCATTCACTCTTATTTTATCTTTTCCCTGCAAAACTGAAAGCTCTTCCTGTATTTCTCTGTAGAATAGAATATATAAATTCACAGTCCCACCTGTATTTCTACCAGTGTGGCACTATGGGACTGGATTTGATTCTAGAAACTTGCACAAGTGATAGAAATGTCTAGTTTCGTGACCCAGGAGATTTCTTGAGACTATCTCTACTGTTAGATTTTCTTTCAAACCCACATGAGGGTAATAACAGAATCTAATAATAATAACCAAAATAATAATAAAAACATACAGAGAAGTGGAAACCTGAACTTTTTCAGGCTTGGAAGAATTCAAACTGAAACACATGTATGAAACAGCCTCTCTCAATATCTGAAATCTAATTTACAGACAGATCCTGTTGGAAAAGAAACTACTGTACATAACATGGAACAGGTATTTTCCATCAAGTATTGATGTGTTAAGCTTTAAATTCCTACAGAATGTAAAGAAAAGAAAGAAAAAAATTAAAATATTTAAAAATAGGAACAACTACATATTTTTACACAGAAATTTAGAAATCTATCCATATACAGCATTGTAGCAGTACAGTCCTATGACTTTTTTTTCCTTGTCTCTTCATGTATTACATTTTTTAAAACAAACATTTACTTGAAGAGATAGTATGGCAGTAACAGGATATCATGTCTGCATCTTGTACTATGAATAACCACTACGAAGACAACAATATGCAATGTATTAATTATTGAAACTGTCCTACTAACCTGTTTTGAATAACCTGTTTTGAAACTGTCTCACTGCTCTTTGTTTCTCAATAAAATTAATAAAAAAGGAACTACTGTACAAGGACTGCAGTTTTATAAGCCTTTACATCAAAAATGCTCTACAGATTGGACAGGTCTCTTACCATAAAGCAGCAAGAGTCTAGCTATAACTTGGTAACCTACATAATAGCTACTTCAGGCAAAGATGGGCATTGGGATTGAAGTCTCACTTAGAGCAGGGGGTCAAGATAAGAGAAATAGGGCCAGCTAGATAGCTCAGTAGACTAAGTGCCTGCTTAGGCAAGCGTAGGGACTGGGGTTTGATCCCCGGCACCACACGCTGAGCCAGCCCCACCTCCGGGCATGCTGAGCTGGCCACAGGGTCCAGGAGTGGTGGTATAAACACCTGTAATTCCAGTTCTAGGGAGGCTGAAAACAGTAGTTCATCATGAGTCCAAGCTGCATAGTGAGACCCTGTACCAAACACATACAAAAAGCATAAGAGAAGTAATAGCTTTGAGGCTTAAAAGCATGCAAACTACAAAGAATTCTTATACTTTTTATACTTGTTTCTTGAAACAAATTTATAACCTATCTCCAAAGCCCCCCCATTGAGAATAGGGACAATCAAGATGAAAGGGAGAAAGCGGAGGAAGAGGAGCAAAAGAACTTCAACCTTAGGATTCTTAGTCCACAGAGAAAACAAAAACAGGATGAGCCTGTATGTTTGATTTTGTGTTGTCTGGATGTTGGAGGCAGTGTTAGGAGGCTACGTACAACAATGACCTGTCCCCTTTGGATGGAATAAATCAAGTCTATTACACAGCTCACAACATGGGCTTCAAGCCACAGTGGTGGTAGCTTTGGGGACCATTTTTCTTCTTAGAAGCAGCACTCCTTTAACTTATACCTTCGTTTTGGCACACTCTACCTGCCACACTATTGTGTGGGGGTGAAGGAAGTAGTGAAAGAACTACTAGTACAGTCCATAACATCTAGCTTACTCCACCTAAACAAACTCCTAACAACGTATGATGTTTGACCTGCTGAACTGCTCCTTATCAGATCTTCCCAAGCTTATGAGCAGATGACTACCTTGACTTATTATTTTTAATTCTTACTGTGTTTGGGGGGTGTGATGCTAAGGATGGAATCCAGGGCCTTGCATATGTTAGAGAACCACTTTATCACTTACCCACATCCTTAGCTCCAACTATAAATTTTTAAGAGAAAGAAAAGGTCCATGTTTTGGGAAATGGCTACCTGATTCTTATCCATGGATAAGAAAATCCCTAACACAAATGTGTGTGATTAGTAGTAAGTATAGGTGCTTGTAAAGGACAATAAGACATCTGAGGAGTCTGCCAACTGAATCTTAACATGTAATGAACTAAAAGACTCCTCTTGACACCTTTTCCCTTGGGTCAAACATCTTTTGGGCATTTGTTTCAGCCTCCTTTTAATGCTCTTTCGACAACAAGAAACCTACTGAAAGCTATGGACATTTGTTCAGGTTATGAATGCCTGCATATGCATGTTCACGTGCATGTGCTCGTGCGCACAAGTGTGCACCCCCCCCACACACAGACACAGAACTTCAGTGAATTTCTAGATTTGGTAGAATCCATACACAGAACCTCCTTAGCAGACTATGGACCTAAGATTAAGAAATTATGTCTAGGAGGAAAAACTAGTTACTATTTATAGAGTATTCATTATATACCAGGTACTACCCTAAGTGTTAAACAGAATTTCTTTTCTTTTTTTCTCTCCTCCTTCTTTCTCTTCTTTTCTCTCCCTCTAAATCTCCTTCCCTCTCTCCCCCAACCTCTCTCTGTGAGCGTTGGGGACTGCACCCATGGCCTTGTACATGCTTGGCAAGTGCCATACCACTGAGCTACTTCTCTAGCTCCTTCAGTTGTCTCAATTATTCATAACAACCCCATGGGCTAGGTGCTACTGTTCTTTGTTTTCCTGGCAAGAAAACAGTGGCAAAGCATGTTATTTCCTCCAGGACAAATAGCCTGTAAATGGACCCATCTAGGATTCTGATTTTGGAAGTCTCTTCTCTTAGTTACTAAGTTCATAAATGTCGAGTAAAACAAATGGAAGGTATCTTAAAAAGTTGAATGTGGCTACACAAACCAAGATCCCATCCCAGGATCCTTCTCTCTTTCTTTGTAGTGAGGAGATATGTATCACTTGAATCTCTAGAGATTTGAGAAAGCAAAAATGATATGGCACTCATTGGAGGGGAAAAGGCTTGGCTAAGTATCCCACATTTGCTACTAACTGTTGTTCATGGCACAGTTTAAAGACAAGCTGGTCAGGCTCTCTACTTGGCTTCTAAAGAATAGGCCTTTGACACTGACATTAACCCTTAAGCTTTTAATTCTTGATCCAGTAAAATTAGTTTCATGGTTACAAACATAAATATTTATTGAGGTCAAGAAAAATTAGGAAGATGTGAGATAGGCTGGTGAATGGCAGTGTGTGTGTGTGTGTGTGTGTGTGTGTGTGTGTGTGTGTGTGTAGAGATGACCATGATCAAATGGAAAGTGGATATACTCTCTCAAGATATTAATATTTAATAGAAATAAACTCCATGAAGGGGCCGGGGAGATGGCTCAGTGGAATAAACGCTTCCCTGGCAAGTGCAAGGGCCTGAGTTCAATCCCCAGTTCCACCAAAAAAAAAAAAAAAACTCCATGAAGACCAAACAAAAGACATTTGGAGTGTGGCCTCTGCAAAGAGTATTCCTTTTCTACTCTCCAGGTATTTCCACACAGGAATCTAGGATGCAGGGAATGTAGTCTATAAGTAGAGGATACAAACTGTGCCATGTAGCAATGCTATGATTTCCATTTCATAAGAACTACATTTTTATGCAACGAGGTGGGCAGTAGAAAGATCCAGGCATCGGAGAGGAGGAACTGTCAGGCATCACATACCTCATACATAGGGAGCATTCAAGGTCAGAGGCATCAAAAGACGCAAGTGGAATACTGAGAGCAGCTTTGGCCTCCCGGTCAGTGGGAAGATCTATGATTTAGAAAGCAATAAGTCAGAGCGAGCAAACCTTGGCTTCAGATAGTACTTCTAAGACAAAAAAAAATCACTTTCCAACTGGCCATTTCTGCCATCTCCCTGATAGTTTATTGATCCCTGAGGCTCTCTTTGGAATCTGACAGGCACCTCACTCATCAGAAGAAATAGCAGCAGCAGCAGTCCCAGCAATTTGAAGGACCGAGCCAGCCTCCAAGGCCAGGATTCAATCTTGGCACTGATAACCTCTTTTTGAAAGATGTCAAGTTATAGGTACTGCTTCTCAGATGTCTACCTAAGGAAATATAACTGGATAAGGCCTGAACACATAACCCTATCCTATACTGCTGGACCAGGATGAGGATGGAGAGTGTTGGCCTGCAAGGAAGCAAGACTGTCAAAGCATGGGCTGTCATAACTTGATACTATGCTGGACCTTATACCTTGGCTTTCTATGAAAATTAACACTGATTGCTTACAGTGCATAAGGCACCATGTGTGAGCTCACAGAAACCTCACAATAACCTCTGATGTAGCCCAACTGGTAATGCCAAAGCTGGGCCACATAGAGCCAGAGGGGTTCCCAGATAGAAGGGAACTTGGTGATCCCAGGCATCTCCTCCAACCTACTTGCTCCCTGGGTAGTCATTACCTTGCCTGTGGGCTTTATTAAACACCTCGGTGTCTTCTCGGAGTTCAATTTGGCAATATTTCCTTTTCTTTTCCTGACATTTGCCAATCTTGATGGAAGCAGCATCTGCAGAGGTAGCACCCTGCTTCTCCTCTTCTTCTTTCTGTTCTTTCATGTTGTCTTGCTGACCATCCACCTGCATGTTAGCTGTGTTCATCGGACTGTTGCCATCTCGGCTAGCTGCTTCCTCCTTCTGAGTAGAGCAATGTGGGAGTTCTGGATTTTCCTACATGAAGAAAGAACAAATATCAGACTCTACTTAGGACCAATATTCTTACCCAGAGGAGACAAAGAGAAAAACACATAACCCTGATTCTCACTACCCATCACTTAGTGGACATATAGCTCAGGTTAGGGGCAATCATAAGGTTTATTCCCACTTCCAGTCCACAAGGCATCTCCAACAAAGGCCTGCCCTGCAGGCAGAGTTAGGGAAGTTCCCTAGGCAAGAATGAAGAGACGCTTCCTGGGTAGAGAAGAAATGCAAGGGAAGCCTCCCTCCCCCTCCTAACCAAATCACTCCTCAGCAACACCTTTAGGAAAACCAAGGCATGCAGCAAGGTAGATACTGTCATTCAGTGCTTCCTCTTACCCTCAAGGACATTCGTAACTGTTGGGAATTTCCAAACCCTAGCTCCTAAAGGATGTTTGCTAAGGCTTTGGCCCTGGTCTGTTTACAGGCTTGCCAAGTGACCTCATGCCCAGAGCTATATGCTTTCCGACCACATGAACAAAGGACAATCTATTTCTTTTACTAGATTTTGGGTGAAAAGTCTCAAAAAGAGACCAAACTATTTGGCATAACAACCCGTATGTCTCCAGTCTGTTACAGAATTTTGTCTAGGAGAAGGATATTCGAAAAATGGATCCAAAAATAAACTTGATGAGAGCCTGTTTATTCAGATTTACCTGGAAAATCTTTCCATACAGTAAGACCCTGACTTACAAACATTCAAATTGCAAGCTTTCACGGGTATACTGTGTAACACTCACAGTTGGCTTAGGAATCAATCTGACTTATGAAGGAATCGGACTTCAGAACAATTCTCCTCGAAGGGAGCTCATTTGTAAATCGGGGACTTCCTGTAATCTAAACCCACAGTCCACAGGTCAGAATGTTCATCTTATTGCTTCCCCTCCAACCATTAGCAAAAATATGCTAGCATATACACATGAAAGGGGACACATACAGTTGGGAGGAAACAGTAAAGGCAGAAAGATAGGATGTAACTTTTCTCACTCTAACCTGGGGAGTTCAGGGTTCTCCCAGTACCACAGTAATACCTTGACTTCCCATGAGCCCAAGGCATTTTCTGCACAGGAGTGCACTGCCTTGCAAGGGAAGTCAGGTGGAAATCCAATCTGTGCCTCATCTGGTTCACTCTGCAGTGCCTGGGGTGCTATTTTTCTTCATTTCAGAGTAAGCTTCAAGGAGAAGTGACTCCAGGCACTTGGGTTCAGTATTAACTTTCACAGCCTGGTAAAAATGACCACTGGGGACTGTAAGATTTAAGGGGGTAATACAAGATCTGCCTTTAAAAAACAAGTCAGGCATATCTGTATTTTATTTGTTCACCATAGCGGGGACAGAAATGGGAAATTTGACTGCCCAGGGCATACATAATAGGCTTACACACAAGTTAAGAAACCTGTATACAAAGGAGGGAAAATATCCCCCAAAAGGTATTTCGGGATTTAGTGCTAAATTTTGCTTTAGAGTCTGGACTTCTGAGCCCCAGCTTCTGTCCACTTACACTTTGCTAGGAAAGCCAATACCTGGAGTCATCTTTCTGTGTTCTGTTCCCTTATGTCCAAAGAAAGGCATAAATGTTATCTTCCTCTCAAGAAGCTCAATTCAAAAGCGTCCCCAAATCTCACTCCTCTTCTCCGGTACAAATATATACTGGAAACCTGCTTATTTTCAAGGTCTAGTGCAGGACTATGAAATTACTTCCATAAGGGGGATCAAACGAAGCTGCCTCTGCACAAGGATCTCAGCTGGAGCTCAACTGCTAGTAGCTTTGAACAGGCAAAAAGCAGGAAAGGAGTGGCAGTCAGGCCCTCTTCTCAGGCTCTGCCCCAAAGCTGTGGCTAGTAAGCCCACCTCCATTGCATGGCTCCAGGGAAAGTGGGCCAATCCTTTTATAGTTGTGTCAAATTTCTCTCTTGGCTAGATCTGACCAAGAACTAAAATAAATGCAATCAGTCAATGTATGCTGGTCTATCCCTGAAATTCAGTATTGCTATCTTTAAGAAGTAACCTTCTTGGCAAAGAACACAGCCACTATGGACTCCATTTCTTCTTTCTCAGGAACCAAAGTAGGAGAGGCAGGGCTCACTCCCCATGTTTGCCCACAAAACAGCCAAACGAAGCGTCATGAAGAGCTGGGTGAGTTGAATTTTACCTGTGACAACTTTAGTAGATTATGGCTGGCGCCTTCAGTAGCCATTGACTCTACGTGTTCCTTTAATCTAGGGTGAGGTGCCAACAGCTTCAGGATATCGGGAGAATGTTCCTGAGAATCCCCCGGGACTGATGGTGAAAAGAAACTAAGGAGAAGCTGTGACATAAAACAGAAGACTTCACTACTTATGTTTCTACAGGTGCTCAGGTGAAGGGGGTAGGGACAGGGGATGGGGCACAACTTGCAGGGCAAAACTGCAGGAAGGAAGCCCTCGACACACCAGGTCCCTGGACACTTCAGCACATCAGTATCATGTGAGGAGCTTATGAAAAACCAGGTTGCACTTCTGTCTCCCCTGTGTCTGAAGCCTGGTCCAGGAATCTGGACTATGAGAAGACACTACAAGATGCCTCTGTTACCCATCCAAGATTCAGAGCCACCCCTTGGTGCTACCATTCCACAGAAATACTTCCAGTAGGTTCTTAAAACCCATCTGGAGGGAAAGAGACAGACTGGGGAAGCCAGGAGACAAAACTCAGTTGGGAAATGTGGAGTCACATCAGTAACAGCTCAGTGGGTAGCAGTGTACAAATATTTCCTAGATTCTTCACAGCTCCTTTTCCCTACCTACCCATTTTGCTTCTTCTTCTGCCCACTTACCATCAGCTCTGAATTTTTTTAAGTACTACTGGAGATTGAACTCATGGCCTTCACACTGAGCTACATCGCCAGTCCCCCCTCCCTCTTTTTGAGCTAGGGTCACACTAAGTCACTAAGTTACCTTGGCTGGTCTCAAACTTGTGAACCTCCTGCCTCAGCCTTCAGCCTCCCAGAGTTCTGGGATTATAAGTATATACCACCAAACCTGGCTTACTCCTGAATCTTTCATCCCTTCAGAGCTGAGGACCTGAGTTATGAAGTATTAGGAAAGTAGGACCCAAGCTTCCTCTTCTAGTCTCTCTCCAGCTCTGGCACTTTCCAGAAAAATTTCAGGCTAAATTCAAGTATCCAGGGCAGGCAGATGCTAGTCTATTTCTGGTTTCCCTTGTAATCCGAAACACTGGGAGAGTAGAATGAGAAGAAACAGAAGAGAGTAGGAGCCAAAAATATGCTTTGGAGTACAGGCAGCACCACTAGCTATCACGTTCTTGCTCCAATGCTCCCCTGTACCAGCAGGGATTTTAATCTGTCTATCTCTGTCTGTCTGTCTATCTATCTGCATCATAACACAAAGGGATCAGAACACTGAATCTCTAAAACTTAGCAAGTGTTCACCTAGCCAGCCCTGTAGAATTTAGAGCCCTGCAGCCTTGTTTAGGCTACTTACTCAGGGTATTCACTGATCAAGAGACCTTGTTATTTTTGTCCTGCACTTCCTCCCCCCCATTTCCCTCTGCCCTTTCATCCTTGTACCTTGGGAGGCTGTGTGGCTGCCACCGAAGCAGGCTCTGTGGATGAAATTCCAAAGCAACAGAGTGGGGAACCCAAAACTCAGTTGGGAAACGTGGAGTCACATCAGTAATAGCCCAGGGGGTAGCAGTGTACAAATATTTCCTAGGTTCTTCACAGCTCCTTTTCCCTACCTACCCATTTTGCTTCTTCCTCTGCCCACTTAGCATCAGCCCTGAATTTTTTAAGTAGTACTGGAGATTGAACCCATGGCCTTCACACTGGGCTACATTCCCAGTCCCCCCCCCTTTGAGCTAGCATCACACTAAGTCACTAAGTTACCAAACTCCATTTTAATTCATTCTCTTTCTGGCCACCAGTAGTTTCTTCACAATGTTCCCTCAGATGCCAGCATTTACCACAAACTCAAGCTCTGTTGAGCCTTTAAAGTTCACCTCAAGTCCAGCCTTTCCCTCACTACTCTCATTGTCTAAGCTCTTCTGTCACGTCCTGCTCTCTAACTGCACCATTTAAGATCAGCTTAAATTACACTGTCTTCTGCCACCCTGGCAATGTGGCAATGTATCACAAATGTCTTTTTCTCCAGCCAGATGATCAGCTTCTGGAAGGCACAGAACAACTGCCCAATATTCATCACTGCGGATGGAACCGAATAGGGACACTTACTCATCTCAGGGCCCACGGAGAAGCCTAGCTTTCAGGCCAAAAGTCCTCAGATGGGTCCCTATGTTTTCCTCTTGCTCCAGAAAACCCACTCTCCAGGTATCAGTTGGCAAAGGAGTGAGCTGGGAGTTACTCTTAGTGCCCAGAGCCATAAATGCCGCCTTTCTGAAGCCCCTCCTGAAAAGGAGCCGAGTTAGGCCCAGCAGCTCTAGTGAGTCGCACTTCAGAGGAAGTCGCTTTGGAATTTCAGCCACAGTGCCTGATTCGGTGGCAGCCATACAGCCTCCCAAAGTACAAGGATGAAAGGGCATAGGGAAAGGGGCGGAGGAGGAGGAAGTGCAGGACAAAAATGAAACAAAACAAAAGTCAGAGTGAACTTGCAGTGAAGGGAATCACTCCAAATTAACAAATGTCAATTTCACTTCAGTTTCAGTGTTAGAAAACCTGAGCTGAGAAGGAAAAAACAGAGGAAAAAAAAAACAAATCCCAAAAAGAAACAGGGCTGTGAGTTTTAAGCCAGTTTACTAATGTCAAGTGAATTTCGACTATTTTCATCAAATATGTAACCCTGAAAATGAAACAATCCAGGAAACAAGCACAGTGAGGCCTCCCGGTGTTCTTAAACTGTTGCCAGTGGCCTTACCACACTCCCTGAAAAACTGCTTCTAAATTCTCTGCTAGCTTCAGAACTCTAATGTTCCTCACAGGAATTATCCTCACTAGCACTGTCTGGCATTCTTATTAACAAACAAAATTGTAAGTTCCTTGATGACCAAAGCTGTGGCTTGTGCCTCACTGGATCTCTAGAGCTTCCCACATCCTGCACATGTGGAAACAACAACAGCCAGTCTCTAAAAACAAACTGGCAAGAGCGAGCAGTAAGTCCAACTGATGATACCAAACCCATCCAGCCAACTGGGCAATGGACAGAGGAAAAGGAACCATTCCTCTTGAGCCAAGACCTGCTTCTTGGAGCCCCTGCATACTCCATTCCCCGCAAAGGCTCTTCTGACTACCTCTGTCTATCCCAGAATTGCCATTTGCTACTCTTGACCCAGCCTCAGCAGTCAGTGTCCAAACTCCAGACATCCTCCTGGAACAGCAGGATGTTGGAATAGTTAAGAGGGTAGGCTTTGTCAGCAGATCAAGTTGAATTTCGATGTTTTCCCATCAATCACCTATAACCGTGGGAAAATAACCAAACCTCAACTTCCTCATCCATCCCATTCAAAATGTGGAGATAAATAATAAATAAGAGTACCTGCTCTCCTAGGGAAGTTGTAGGGTTTTAATTATATCTTCTACTTAAAGCGCCTAGCACAGTGTCTGGGACTTATAAAATATTTATGAGATATTATTACTCACACGATGGTGACTGGTTCACAGCATGAAGCTGTTCTCATGACCCTTCAAGAAAACTCTGCCAACATACCCAAACCAGGTCAAAATAACTTTCCAGAAAGAAAATTCTCCACTAAAGTCAGAAAACCCAAAGCTCAGTTCTCATGGAGTTTATCCATTTTGCAAAAGATTCCTTCATGGAGCCTTGAGAAACTAATCTACCATATGTTGCTCACTTTCTTCACTCACTGCCTTGCCAAACCACACAGGGATGAAAGTGGCTGCAGCTTGGTGGAGAGTAGATATAGGAGAGCACAGACAACCACTGATTGTCAGCATCCAACTTCCAGGCCAATTAGCCAGACACCAGAAGAGTAAATTGCAAAATGATAAACAACAAAGTCCATGAACTGAAGACGCTTGACCCTTCAATCATGCATTCAGTATTGCAGGCAATTTTTTTTCATGCCAACCACACTGTCCTGGGACCCAAGAGTTGGAATACCTATTTGGATTATATTAAAGGTCTCTGACTTGCATTTGTGAGACACTGTGTTTAGTTTCTAGCAAAGGAACTGAATGTTAGAGTTCTGTGTATAGCAGGGGCACTGAAAGCAGTCAGTGTCCCTTCCAGAAGCTGGTCACCCAGTGTGGCTGCTAAAACTGCCATTCACCCGAAGAAAGATTATACAAATGCAGGCAGCCCCACGCCCTAGATCTCCGCCTACAGCCAGAATCTCATCAGCAAGTCTCATAACCTAGGTTGACGTATTCAGTCTATTTCAGTTTTATAACCTATTCAAAACCCAGACCATGAGTCAAGGAAACATTTCTCTCAGGCTCCTTCCAAAATGCAGGGATTGCCCAATCTGATCGTACACCCTAGGAGGGCAGTGTTTCTAGGCAATCAATAGGCACACCGTCTCCCTCCTGTCCCCTGTCTCCACAGAACCACCCCCTAAGAACCCCAAATACCACCCTCATTCCCCTCCCTGGAAAAGATACAGTGGTAGGGCTCCATGAGGCAGCTGGACCTGATGTGATTCCTACTCACCCTCTGGGCTTCAGATCTTGCTTTCTTGTTCTTCCCATCAAGGGATACACAGTAGAGAAACTCTCTCAGGGCTTCCTCCACCTTGCCTAGGGTGGCCAAGGCCTGCGCTTTCCTGAAGTGTGCCTGGAAAACAATGTAGTTTTCAATCCCCTCTTACATTATTAATGCCGCTACTTTCCTCTATCGCACTCTGATGTAGACAACTGCTCTGAATCCCATTTTAAAGAAGACAGAACTGAGACCCCCCCCAAGTATACCTCACCCAGGGAAACACAGCTGGTAAATTGCCTCTTCATTTTTTAAATTTTTAAACAACCTTTATTTTGTTTTTTAAAATAATTTTATTTTATTGAGAAACAAATAGCAATGAGACAGTTTCAAACCTGATTAATAGGACAGTTTCAATAATTAATACATTGTACATTGTTATCTTCTTAGTGGTTATCCATAGTACAAGATGCAGACAGACTATCCTGTCCAAAGACTATTAGTACAAATCTTTCTTCTCATTGAATTAAGCGAAAGTAGCTGTATATCTATTGTCTCTTCAGAGTTTGAATGTGGAACTCACTTCATGAAAGCCCATATTTTCAACCAGCATGCCAATGCCCATCTAGATATTGTCTTCCTCTGAATTAGTCTATCCAGCAGAGACCTAGTCAACACAATGGTTTGCTTAAGCACCTAGACTTGCTGATCATTTCTCAGAAGGGAAGCAAAAGAATGAGCACGACCTCTCTGAGACCTCCAAGGTTGCTAGTGGCAACGCTGGCACTAGAACTGTGGTCTCAGGCCTCCCACAGTCCTTCCTCACAAAGAAGAGTTCCCCTCACTCACTGGCTGACTCAATGCTTTTCCTCACTTCTGCTGCCTCACCACATCCTTTAAAAGCAAATTTGGGGCTCTTTAGTGTCCAAGCCCAAGTGCTCTGGAAGAAACTAGAGAGAGCAGAGTAGCATCCTAGGGAAGAGGGAGGAAGAAGAGAATCTAAGAGAGAGAGAGAGCTGGCTTCTCTTCATGCAGTGCCATTTGCCTGGGGAGAGTGAAGAAGGGCTTTCTTGAGCAGCGACCCCTGTGAAAGCCTCCTGGGGACCTCTCCCCATGCTTCCACCTCTTTTTGAAGGCTAATCTTGGCTCACAAGTGGATGCTGCTTTTCTCTCTTATTGCTCCTTGCAAAAGAGTTTACCAGGACTTTCCAGGGAAAGGCTACTGTGACATTGCAGGGTAAAAGGTATAAGTATTGGGAGACTGAAAGGGCTTCTGGGATCCTGACTATCAACCAAGTGGCAACTCATATGCTCTACCTGTGCAGAGCAGCCAGCGCAACCCACTGAGATCTGTACCCGCTGCAGGGCCTCCTGAATACCTGGGGCCCTAGTTGGGTGGATGGAGTAGGGCTTCCAGTACTCCTCCCCTGAGGCATTTCACATCCAAAGGGTAGGATACACGCAAATAAGATGCAAGATACGTTTGAATTATATACGTCAGTTTTTCAATCCCCAAGATAACAGTACCTTCATCCCTTCCCTCCCTCTTACCCCACGACTATGGGGGAATGAAACTCCGGTCTAATTCTTGCACCAGCTATTCCTTCATCATGAAAATCACTTTTTCCCTTTAATTCAAAATCTATTTCTCAGCCCTGCTTCCCACCATGATCCCAAAGTCTTCAGCCTAGGCTTAGGATAAGAGAGGAACAAGGTCCAAGGGAAGTCCACTTATACCCAGGAAGTTCCCTGAGTTGCACAACTAGACGCACTCAGCCCACCACCATCACTATGAAGCTCCTCTCAGTTATGACATTGGTGACTTGCACTGAACTGTAAAAGTGCTCCTTCAGAAAGAGCATTATTGCTCCACAATATTTTGTCTGAAGTTCCTAAATTCATCCCCCCAAAATATTTCAATAATCCAATATTTTTAAACTTGACCCCCAAATTCATTAGGTGAAAAAACCTGACCTAAACTGACAAAGTATTTTAAAGTATTTGTCCTACAGTGTTTGAACTTTACATAATTTGCTGCTCAGATAGTGTACTTAATTACTGTGACTGGGACACTGTCTAGAGCTAATTGCGGGTATCACCACCTGCATGGCCTTCCAATAATCAGAAACATGGTGGATTCTGAATACATCTGGTGCCATCAGATTCAGACAATGCGTCAAGGCTTTGGATTTGGATACAGTGGTTTTCCCAGCCTGGACTTGTGCAGAGAAATCACTACATAAAACCCAGCCAGCTTTGTAAAATGTTGTCTGGTTACACTCACCTTTGATCCTAACATATCCATGTGAAGCAATTCGGGTAGATATCAATAGCTTTTTTAAAAATATAACTATGACACTTGACTTTCAGAAGGTAAAGCCATTTCCCTCATGGTCACCTTGGCTGCAAGTAGTACAGCCCAAACTCAAATGTATTCTAAACAAAATACTGATGTGTGTCAGAGGCCAGACAGAGATGCTGAAATCAACATTTGTATACCGGCATCCTGAAAGATGTGTAGCTTGTTTTTCTTCTCACACCTCTCATGTGACCTAGATGTCTGGGGCCACCAGTAGGTCGACTGACTATAGTGAGGACTGAGAATGACACAACCATTGTGTGAGGGTGGGGATTTCTACAAAGAAAGTTGGCAAAGCTCCTATAAAGCCAGATGCTACTAACTCAGGATGATCACTCCAGGAATCCTCTCACACTTTTTCTACTATCCTTGAAAAATGATGCTAATAGGAAATACTTATATAACGCTGTGTTCAGGTACTGTTCTAAGCATCTTCCTCAGTAATCTAACACCATCTTCATCACAACAGTGGATGCTTTGAATATACACATTTTATAGATGAGATGAACCAGAGAAAGGGTCATTTGCCCAAAGCCACCCAGTTTGTAAAAGTACTGAGACTGTGACATAAATCCAGGTAGTCTGCCTCCCAATTCCATATTCGGGACAGACATAAAGCCCAGGCTATTATTGTGCAGGAAAAAAAATTAGGGAGCAATCTAGTACCAATGCAAGTTTGACTCATCTTGTTTTTGTTTGTTTGTTTTATGGACCAGGGATCAAACTCAGGACCTTGCGCTTTCTAGGCAGGTGCTTATGCCACTGAGCTATATCCCCAGCTGACTGACCTTTTGCCAAGGGATGCCTCACACCCTGGCTCCTTTGAAATGTCCTCTTTCTGGTCTACTTGAGGTCTAGTCCTCAACCTCCCAGGGAGGAGGCCTTTCCTGACACCACTTGTCTACAATACAAACCTTTTCCATCCTCTGTGTTTCATACTCACCTTAAAACCCATCGGGCGGAGTTTACATGCTATTTCTGCATCGTGCAGTGCATCTTCATGAGATTCCAGGGTGAAATAAATTTGAGACCTGTTGCTATAAAGCAAGTGGTCATTTGGAGCTGTCAAAATAAGGGGGAAAAAGCTGTCATTAATGGCCCCCAGCACAAGCACATGGTAATTCCTTTAGGAGGATGGGTTTTGAGCAAGAAAAAAGCTAGGACTTTTTTCTTCCAGGGATCCAAAGGGTTAGGCTTTACGATCCAGCCTAATGTAGTCCTGCCTTCCACACCACCAGCCATTCCAGGTCTATTTCCCCACCTTCAGAGAAGAAAATTCCCCCACCCCTTCCAAGCAATTCTTCAGAGGCATTGTGGTGTCTGTGGTGCATTAGAACCTTTGACCTAGAGGAAACCCTAGCACCCTGCTCCTTGGCTACACACAGTTGGTGTCTGCCAGCCTGGTTTCTGAGTTATATATCACCAACAGAACAGGCCAGTCAGGAAAGAGAGGCAGATAGCTAGATGTGACCCCTAGCCTGATCCTGGCAAGTCAAGACAATGTTACTCTTGTGGGTAAGATCACTGGTGACATTAGCAACATCTTGGTCTGCAAGCCCCAGCACAGGGGAAGTTTCCCTAAAGACTACAAAAATGCACTTATAAGGTTCTGTCCTCCCATTACAGATGGCCAAAGATGAGTGAACCTGGACAAGGCTTCTGCGAATAAAATGAGCCTGAGTCTCACCAATACCCTAGGCTGGATAGGCCTCTAGAGATCATCTAGCAAAACAGACCCATTCTTCAGATGGGGAAAATAAAGGCCAAAGAAGGGATGAGATCTGCTTGTGGGTCACACAGTAGCTAGTCAGTCATTGCCAACTGGTCAGACTTTGCACCTTTATAGCTTGGCTGGGGGGGTCCATTTTTCCAAATGTGTATAATATTTAGAAAAATGAGAAACTGGCCATTTTCTAGAACAAAGATACTCTGTTAGGGAGGCCCTTTTTCTGTTACAAGAATAAAGCTGGTCTTGAAAGTTTTGTCCTGACTGCCTGGACAGTGGTTAACAAAGGTACACTGGAAGATGCTGGGGGGCCAGTGGTGGCAGAATGGGGGAGGAGGCTGAAAGTAACGGTTCCTTAGGAGTTCTGTACTCCAAAGGCGACTGCTTTCATCCATATTGCTCTGTCTCCCAGCACTGGGCTCACCAACTGCTGGCAACAAGCTTTCCTGGGGATTTTCCCTGAGCAGGTTCTGGATGGCTTCAGAGCCCATTACTTGCTCTTAACACATTAATGATGCTTTCCCACATTTCTCTGCCCCTTCTCTTCTGCAGCATATGCCAGCCCAGGGGCAGATCACAGCCTGCCTTACCTGGGCACAGACACATGGTGGGGTCCTTCAGTGCGCAGTCTTCCCCAGTCAGCCCTGTTCATCTCCCTATCCTCATTACCTGTTGCAAGTCTGAGTGGACATTCAACAGGTGCGGACTCCAGCCCACTTTGCCTTCAGTCATCAGTGTGTCCCAGGGCACCGTCGGAACCCACAGCCCTGTCTGCCCAGCCCTGCCTGCCGCCTCCTCCCCCGCAGGCTCTGCCAGACGCCGCGCGGGCCGGCAGAGTTGCTGGCAGGCTGCCGGAGCTGGGCGATACCAGCCGGCCCCTCCCCGGGTCCGGACGCAAGGGATCGGAGAAGTCAACCTCTGAGAGAGCCCGGGCGTGCGCGGCGAGCCAACTGCGTGGGACCGCTCACTTTGCCCTTGAAGCTGCAGCGCCCACCTGCCCCTCTTCGGGCAGAGCAGAAAGAGGCCCACAGGCTGCCTCCTTCATCGGCAGCCCGCGCTTCTAGGGGATCCCCGGCACTTGCTCAGCCGGGTAGCGAGGCTGGCTGCGAGGTTGAGGGACTGGAGCCGAGGATCGGGCTGCTGGCTGGCAATGGCAGCAAGCAGGGGGTGGGGGCATCTATTTTAGCCAAGGATCGTGTGATGGGAAGCGGTGACAATGAGTCACAGGGCAGCGGGGCGCAAGCGCCCCCCCCGCCCCGCACACGCTCTAGGGATGGCTTCCGAGGCGAGCGTGGCCCACTTCGGTTACCTCAGCCGTTACACAATCCCGCCCGCCCGCCCGCCCGCCCGCCCGCGCGGAGGAGGGGCCGCTTGGCCCGGGCCGCTCGCGGCCCTTATGCAACCAGTGCTCTCCTGACCTAATTCCAGGCCAGACCCACCCCACGGGGAGCCGTAGCCCCGGAAGGGACAACTCCCAGAGGCGGGAGCGACAGACGCAGGCGCGACGGGACATCTCTGGCCAGCAGGAGAGGACAAGACGCGGCGCGACTGTGGCAGGGGTGCGAAGTTCCTGTCCTGGCGGAGGCGGTGCCAACAAGCTCAAGGAGACCCCAGGAGCGCGGAGAAAAGAGGGGAGAGACGCATGGGGAGGGCGAAACCGAGCAACACAGAGTGACTGACAAAGATGAGAAGGGACAGCTAAAAAGAGGAACAGAGTGACACACAAACAGAGACTGAGAAATGCTGAAACAAAAGCTAACAGGAGACACTTAAAAAGACGACAAAAAAGAGAAAAAACCGCCAACTGAGACAGGAATACTGTAAGGAAGGTTCACCGGGGAAGACAGTCTCAGAATCCTCCCTCCCTCCCTCCCTCCCTCGGGCAGCCCCTACCCCGGCCCCAGCCCCTCGCCCGGTCACTCTCCCGCCCCTGCCGGCTGGAGCTCACCTAGCCTGACCGCCTCATTGTACTTGAGCAGCGCAGCCTCCACCTGGCGCTCCCGGTACAGCCGGTTGCCCTCGTGCCGGAGTTGCGACGCGCGCGCGGGGCCCGGGAACAACTTGCCGAGAAGGCCGCTGAGCACCACGTTGACCCGAAGTGGCGGAGGCGCCTGCTGCCCAGCCCGCCGGGCCCCGCGCGTTCTGCCCGCAGCGACCATCAGCGCGGAGAGCTTGACCCCGCACAGCGCACAGCGCCGGTCAGCCGCCCGCCCACGTTCTAGGCACAGTTTACAAAAGGTGTGGCCGCAAGACAAGGACACTGGGTCTGATAAAAATCCGTGACACTTCCGGCACTTAAAGCCATCCCACACCTCAGTGGCCGTGGCCGCCGCCACCCCTGCCTCTTCCGCGGCTACGGTACATCCTGTCCCGCTGCTCTTGTCCGAGAGAGCCGGCGCGGGTGTCTGTGACTCGTCTTGCGGGACGTTCTCTGCCAGGCAGCGCACCAGCTGCTCCAGCTGCTCAGCCACCAGCTGCTGTCGCTCTGAGAGCTGTCTGTATACCTCGAGGGCTTCCCGAAGGCGGCCTCCAGACGCCAAGGCGTCGGCCTTTGAGAGCAGGACTTTGCACTCCTGGGGCGTCGAGGTCCTTGGAGTCTGCTGTGGCTCTGGTTCGCGCGTCTGTGGGGGTTCAGGACCCCCGGTGGCCGCCTCCTGGTGGGGGCCCATGTCTACTCCAGCCGCTGGTGCCTGCCGCTCAGCCGACTCCTCCAGTTCTAAGTTGTTGCTGCCCAGCTCGGCGGGCAAGCTCAACATCGGTTCAGTCTGAAATGAATCCATTGAGAGAGGGACCCGCGCTGGGAAAGGCGTCTAAGGACCGAGAACACGGATCAAGGAATGACGAGTGGAAGGAATCGGGGCTTCCACGGCCGCGGTGCTGCCCCGCACCCGGCTCTGCCGCGCCTCCGCGAGCTCCATTCTGGCCGCCCCGCGCCGCCTAATAACTGTCTTGTCTCAGCAAAGTGTTATATAAAACGTGACCACGTGACGCGCCACCACGCTGCTCATTGGCCAGCGGCGGGGAAATTGTTACAAAACCAGACAGTTTTGTAACAGTGTTGCGCTTGCTTCTTTTGGCTTTGCTTTTCTTGGCTTCTTTTGGAGGTTGTTTGTGTTTACACTCTGACTTACTCTCCACTGACACCACCGCTAACGTCCAAAAGTTGGCTTCTTTTTGGAAGGAGAGGAAACGGACCTCTCTCCCCAGGCTTGTCCGTCTCCAAACCCCACCCCATCCCACCTCCATACTGGCCAGCAAACAGGTCCCCTCTGCCAGCCGCTCACCTCCGTCTGCTCAGGCCCTCCCTGCAGAGGGCAGTACCTCCGGGCGTGGTCCTCAGGGTCTGCTGGGACACAGAAACTCCCGCTTCTGCGAGGGACCCGGGCTGTCTGTGGAGGGAGGTGGATTTGGTGAGTCCTCGGGAGGTGCCACCTCCCACATCGAACTCCCCCGCCCTATCTCCCTGGGAATCCCACCGTGGGTTCCCTTCTTCCCTGGGAGCCCCTCCAAAGTCGTGCGTGCAGTTTCCCAAAGACTCATGGTCTTCCTGCCTGGTGAAGCTCACAGCAGTGGGTCTGGCAGGCGGCAGCACAGAAGTTGGGTGAAGCTCACGGGATGTTGAGGGACTTGGGGAGAAGTGTTTGCTAGCCAAGGCTCGCACCTGGAGGGGGCCGCCCCCCCACCTCATCTCTCTAAACTCTAGAACCAGCACTGGAGCTGCGGTGGACACCAGCTGCAAATGCATCCTGACCCAGGAGGCACTGGCCAGCCGGATGGGCATGGCCTCCAGAGCTCGGCCTGCTGGGCTTGGTGGGTATTGGGGGGGGGGCGACAGGGTGGAACGACAGGGGGAAAATTCAAGCTGAGAAAGTTCACAAAATCTGGTACAGCTCTGAGGTCAAGTGGCCTCCAGGATCAAGCTTCTGAGGGTTAATTTCTCACATTGCGCGTCACAGTGAGGGGCTGCATGGAGCAGGGCTGGGACGCCTGCTTTGATGCAAGGCTCCCAATGGCTGGAGGCACAGACTCCATCCAGGTTTTGCTCTCTGAGCCATGAATCCTGCACAAAGGTCCACAGAACTGTGCACTGAGCCTAGAGTCTCTGGTAAGATAAGGGAAGAGGGACAGAGGGGAAGAGACAGCAGCACATAGACAAAAGGAACTGAAAAAAGAAACAGAAGCTCAGAACTGTACTGGTTCATACAGTGTGTCAACTGGAGGAGTTTAATTAACTGACTCAGCAGGGAGCCAGAGTTCTTTGTAAACATCCTCATCCTATCCAAGAGGAGAACATGAAGAGTGTGTGAGTGCTACACCCCAACCCCAGGGTAGCCTGCTTATAAGGGAAGGAGAGAGGCAGCTACTGCTGCTCCTCCCTTTGTTCTTTGCTGTTTTCTGCCACCATAAACTGCTGCCCTCTGCCATGTGCCACTCTACCTTAAAGCCAGCTAAGTATGGACGGAAGCCTCCACAAAGTGGGAGCTAAATAAACTTTTCCTTCCTTAATTCTGGATGTTGAGTATTTTGTCCCAGTAATGAGAGAAAGGTAACGGAGACACAGTTTGGTACCTAGAAGTGGGGTTGTTGCTATAACTACCTGTCCATGGTGTTCAAGAGCTTTTGGGAATGGCTTATGGGGAGAGATAAAAAGGTTCAGAGATGTTACCTGAAAGAGAAGAGCTGGAACATCTTTGGCTGTTCTGTATGGGAGATTCTGGTCCGACCTCAGAAGGCCCAAAGGTTGATAGAAATACTGCCTGTAAAGACCATGCTGGAGAGGTTTCTGCTGGAAAGGACTGTGTTGGTTGTTGGATTCCCGATGATAAGTGTTTTGGCTTGGCAGAAAGTTTGTCTGTATTTTGCTTGTGTCCAGAGACTTTTCCTGAGACTGAGATTAATTTGCAAAAGAAATTTCAAGGCAGTCAAATGTTGAGGCAGTGGCATGGCTATTTTGGGGGGCTTTTAGTAAAATTTATGTTGAGAATTGAGAGCAAAGACCCCAACAGGATAATTTAAATGTTGTGAGTTTGGCCAGAAAGGAAGTGCCAATAAAGCTAGTGGCCTGCAAAGATAGATCTGAGATCTCCATTGTGGAAAAGGAACAGGAAAATTGAAAAGATGACCCAAAGGAATCCCAAGAAGCAGCAAGTCTCCATCCTTTGTGGATAGAAAACTGCAAAAGTGAAAATCTTTGTTTTGAGGAGAAAGCCACAGAGTGCCATGTTCCAGAATGGCGGCAGTGGCAACATTAGGTTCCAGAATGGCAGCAGCATAGAGAATTTGTTCCTCACAATCAGGGTCAGAGTGCTCAGTGATCCAGACACTCAATCCTTACAGCCAAGAGGGAAGAAAGCCTGGCTACTGCTTCAGCTGGCAGCAGACCTAGGCATCATCCACATAGCCTTGGTTTTAGGCTCATGCACAATGCAAGAGTTCTGAGGTTAAGAAAGATTCCACTTGGATTGCAGAAGAAAGTCTGGGAGGCCAGGCAGTTGTGCCTGGGAGGACAGTGTGTGAAGCAGAGAGTCATAAGCCTAACATGTAGTGGAAACCCCATAAGTTTGGAAAAGCCAGGAACATGGATTGTCTAAGGAAAGCTGCAAGGAGGGAGCAAAGCTGGCCCCAGAGAGAAGCCATGGGAGCTACAACCAGCAGAAGTGCCATAGAGGTGGATCCACATGGAGCTCACAGTTTGCCACAGATTGCCTGGGATGTTCCACATGGAACTATAGGACTTAATGTTTGCCCCGTGGGATTTGGGACTTGCTTTGATCCCAATGCTTTGTATCCTGCAGTTTATACCTTTTGGAATGGTAATGTTTTTCTTGTGCCATTAAATGTTGCAAGTGTTTAACATGGGACTTGGACTTTTCAGCAATGCTGAAACTGTTAGGACTTTGGTAATTCTTATAGACAGACTAAATGCCTTTTGCATAAAGGGATGTGCATGAGTCTTTAGGGGGCCCAAAGGCAAAATGTTGTGGTTCTAATGTAATACGATGTTGATAGACTTAGTACTGGTTCTTAAGGTTTGTTAAAGCTGTGTTATAATGTCCAAGTTGTGAAATGTTAAGAATAAGCATGTCATTGTATGTGGAAACTGGTTTAAGGGATTGTGTCTAGTTGTCAAGTTGACAAGGGGTGGATTGTACTGGTTGCTACATTTTGTCAATTTGAGGAACTTAGAAGTTTAATTAAGTGACTCTGCAGGGAGCCAGGGTTCTTACTTTGTAGACATCTTTATCCTATCCAAGAGGAGGGCATGGACATTGTGTGAGTTCTACATCTCCACCCCAGGATAGCTTGTTTATAATATAGGCAGCTGCTGTTGCTCCTTCCTTTGCTTTTTGCTGTTTTCTGCCACAATGAACTGCTACCCTCTGCCATGTGCTACTCTGCCTTAGAGCCAGCTAAGTATGGACTGAAGCCTCCACAAACTGTGAGCTAAAAAAAACCTTTCCTTCCTTAATTTTGGGAGTTGGGTATTTTGTCTCAGTAAGGAAAGAAAGGTAACTGAGACAGGACATAGCCAGGAAGGTGTGAGGAACACACAGAAAACTTGATTTGCCAGGACATGTGGGGCCAATTCTCAGGGTCTTAGTTTGCCCCAATTTCCAAGGTTTTCCCCAGTCCTAACCTTCAGTTGCCCTTAATCTTACAACTAGATGTCAGGATCCTAATCCAGTTACTTAAGTACAAGTGACTAGTCCAGGGCCATGGCTGGGACTGGAGGTTGAAATTGGTAGCAGTCGTGGGAAGGACATGGGTGACTAGGAGACTGTCCTCTCAGGATCAGGCCAGATTTTGAAGCCAGTCCAGAGACTAGTCAAAAGGTAGAGGTGGCTAGGGTAGGCAGTAATGGGAGAAGCAGGTGCTTTGGTGACTTGGTATCTGATTGAGGAGCTGGTTTCACCCCTCAGTTACCCTTGCTGATAATGAGGTCTCTAGCACTACCACTTCTGGGACCTATGAGGAGAGTCAGTCTATAGAGCATTTACTATTAATATGAAAGGGCCATGAGATAGATAGTGACAAAAGCTTCTTCAAGAGCTTTATGCTTTCTCTAAGAACTCAATGTCTGTTGCCCAACATTGTTTTTCACATGCAGAACTGAGATGTTCCTTGCTCCCTGAGCCAACTTGCCAATTAGCACCCCTTGGAGTGATATTCTCCTTGTGCTCTTGGCCATGGAGAAACAAGAAGGTTAGGGCAGGCAGAAGGTGACAGCGCTGCAGCATGGAGAAAAGGTGCCCTCTCCATACAGCCCCTCTTGGTTGCTGCAAGAGCCAAGGCTGACTCAGGCATGTTAATAGCTGTCAGGATGATGCAAGATGCGCAGGTGCAAAAGGCAGCACCACCTACTCACTGACCAGGCTCCACAGGGAGTTTTAGGTTGTACAGTTATAATCAGAACTGCCAGGAAGATAACACCAAATGGGTTTCTAGTTAGTGCTGGCAAACTGCTCCACAGTGATTTTCCTTTTTCTTTAACAGATATTACCTTGATCTATATCTGCGAGCCAACTCACAAGACCCCTACTCACAATGTCCTCCTCTCTGTGCTTACTCATTGACATTCCCTTGGGGAGGCCAGAGGGAAGACTGACAGCATTTTGTGTTTTTTTCCAGATTCAAATATTCCCTTTGGAGGACCTAGTTCCTTCAGCTTCTTTTTATTTGCCTAGCCTCACAGATGGTGAAGGTAAACTGGGAAGCAGGAAAAGAGATGAGCTACTCCTTTCCACTGACCACAGCAAAGGTTTTCCATCTGGGTTCTGAAGAACTTCGCTTGGTCCTAGAGGACAGAACATTCAGGACTCAACCAAAGCTCTACTCAACTGGAGCAGTATTTTATGTAGTGAGCTTCCAGGCACAAGGTCATTAAAGAAAAAATTTCGCTTTAAAATTAAGTTTGAAAGCCATGACAACTTTTGTCCACTTTCATATATA